TTCTTATTCACTTCAAAACTGTATAACGGTGTACCGTCAATTTATCGTAAGCAATTGACCGCCAGATAATTGATCGCAAACAGGCTATATAGGTTTTTCAGGGTATTTTAAGGCGAATAGTGTCTTTTCATAATATTATTCGATTGTTAACGATCAAATCTTATCTAACATTATACTCGTACCCTATTTTATCGGTCCGAATTTTTCTCTATTAATCGTATAGAATATAGATCACTATGAAACGCTACGACAATACATCAGTACTGCTACAATCGTTTAACGGTATACTAACAACTTCGTGTAGCTGAAGTACTGTACATAAAATTATGGCTCTAGAGTATGTTTTAAGGGAGAAAAATAAGTATATACTTATTTATCAAGGTTTTTTACACGTAAAAGAACGTGAACATGAAAATAAAATATATTGAAAATGTACAGAATATAAAAAAATTCACTGTAAAGGTCGTGTACATGTAGTAGATGACAAAGTCACTAAATGTATTGAACATAACAATCACRTTCCAAATGCAGCAAAAATTGAAGCGAAAAAAGTTATTTCAACTTTAAAAAAAAAATGCATCACAAACAACTCTCAGCACACATTCAGTTTTAGGAAACGCAGTTATGCAGGTAATTCAAGTTGAATTTTTAGTGTTTTTTAATATTATATACCTATACCTTGATGATTTATTATTATTATTTTTATATTCAATATGTACAAATATTATCTATTTATATAAAAAAAATATTGCATATTATAATTTTAAATTTTAAGTTTAATTTGTTTCATTTTTAAACACCTAATAACATTTTTTAAACATTTTTAATCTAAGACGAAAAAATATTTGTTTTAACCATATATGTAACCAGAGTTGTACCAAATGTATTCAAATTAAAAATTAATATTGAAAATGTTATTTTCCGATCAATTGCCATGAGGTAAATTATAATYGATGACCTGATTGGCTTTCAAATGGCTTGCGATCAATAATTTGCGGTAAATTGTAATTGCGATCAATAATTTACAGTAAATTGTTTACGATCAATTGACGTGTATCCCTGTATAACAATGGGAATACCACAAAAAAGAATGGATTTGATTGTTAGTATGCTTATCTGATAGAAATATAGAATACACTATGTCCTTGTCTTGAGACTAGTCAACAAAAAGTAGTTATAGTAACCCATTGTCAATTGGTAGATTTATTTGAAACACCTTTTAGTAATTAAGTGTTTTTCTTATACTTTGTTTGAAGCAGCTTACTTTCAAACAACCAGCTATCAGGCACTGGAAAATTATTAATGAAAATTAATACTATATGTAATCAATGAAGTTACAAAATAGATTTTATTTGATTCCTTCAAAT